CTAGGGTTGCATGTACACCATAGGAGTGTTAGAATGCTCAAAACCCATCATTTGTAGCTTGGGGTCAAAAGTGAATGGTGCACCATGTTTCCAGGGGAGTCATATACGTGATTGGATTGCTGCAGAGGTTTTGCGGGCCCTCCGCGAAGAGTTATCAGACACCATGGGACGAGTCACCGATAGAGTGGTCGCCGGGATTGAAAGGCGGACCTCAGCTATACAGTCGATGGGTGAAATGGTCGCTGTGACCCGGGAACAGGAGATTGGTTCAGATAGTCAGCTAAGGAAGAGGTAGCGGTCTTCCGGTCTAGTTCGGCAAGATGGGCAGGTGGACACTGCCGTAGTTGGTGTTAGGGACCCGCAAGGTCGAGATGGTTGCACGAGGAAGGAGGGAGCACGGGATGACGTGCGTAGCAAGTCTAAGTGCGGCAGATGCGGATGGAAGGGTCATAAACGCCAAGAATGCACAATAGAAGTAGAGTTATGCCATCGTTGCCATCAGCCTGGTCATGTCAGGGCAAATTGTCCCGCTCAGCGGATGGGGCAGCCTCAGTATCATCGCAGGCCTCGGAAGGAAGGAGGATTCGGGGGTTCTTTAGAGCAGGTTGCGGGTATGAATATTCCTCTCTCTATCAGCTTATGTTATGATTTTATTGTTATGGTTCTGCATCAGTAAGGATAATGATATTTCAGAATTTGTGGCCTGCTTGTGATTGAGTTATATGCCAATTGCATACCGAGAATTATTAGCGGATAGCGAAAGATCATATTCCAAATCGCGGGATTGGGAGAGTACAACGTCATCTTGGTTTATTCCAAGACTGAGGAGCAGCACGAGAAGCACCTGAGGGAGGTGCTAGAGACTTTGAGGAAGGAGAGACTTTTTGCAGGGTACTCCAAATGTGAGTTCTGGTGGCGCGAGGTGCAATTTCTTGGGCACCTTGTCAATCAGAAGGGTATTCTAGTCGTTCCGGCCAAGATGAAGGTCGTGATGCAGTGGGAGATTCCGAGGTCTCCAATTGAGATTCGGAGTTTCCTGGGTCTAGCGGGTTATTACCGGAGATTTATTCGGGTTCTTGAAAGTGGTGTGATCTTTTGGACTGACTGGTGTTGAAAACACTAGCAATTGTAAGCGTGGTTTCTAGCAGATTAGTCATGGGTGGTGAAGGATTGGGAATTCTTCCAGTTTTGTGTGCTGTAAGGCATTAGCTGAATCAAAGTGGGGGAGAATCATCCAAGGATTCAGAAGTAGGAGCAGTTTTGAGACTAGGATAAGTTTTGCATCCTTGTCTGAAAGGAAGACAACCTATGTGGTTGTAGGTTCGAGGAGATGTGAGATGGAAGTTCGGAAAAACTTGCCAAGGATGAGATCGAATTCTTGGAATGTTTGCTAGCAAGCCTTAGGGAATCAAGTTGGGGATTCCAGTCAGGACATGAGTTCAGTTGAGTGCGGGTCAAGCGCGTGTCGATCCAGTATTAGAGTGTTGTAAGTCTGCGGGTGTAGCCGTAGCATTCACTAGCAGCCAGACAGTATTAGAGTGTTGTAAGTCTGCGGGTGTAGCCGTAGCATTCACTAGCAGCCAAACAGTATTAGAGTGTTGTAAGTCTGCGGGTGTAGCCGTAGCATTCACTAGCAGCCAGATAGTGTTAGAGTTCTGTAAGTCTGCGGGTGTAGCCGTGACATTCACTAGGTTGGTAGATAGCGTGAGTGCGTTGTTAAGACGCGGAAGGAACAGTAGTACCCACCAGTTCGGGTGTAGCAGTGAGGATATGGAAATCCACGGATTGGATTTCGGAATTACCTAGACGGATTAGACCTGGTTAAGCCAGTGATAAGATTATAGAAGCGCCACTACAACTATGAGAGCAAGGAAGCAGGGATCTGCTTAAGGTATTTCATGACATGAGGCTACCAATGGCCATGTAGCAATCACTTTTAGCCTTGGGTTTGGTGACGTCAGGATTCAACGTATGGACTCGATCAGTTAGATCAGAAAGTTATTAGAGCCTCAGGGGTGTGGTAACTAGTGGTAACTAGTTCTAGAGAAGGAATTCGTTCAGAAGACGTGTGAGGCGACTAAGTGGGAGTCCTTTGGCTCCGCAGCCGGGCCGGAACCCGGTATTTCGGATGACCGACAAATGAATTAAGACCAGGAGGGTCTCGATAGATTTTGGAAAGCAGCCATGTAGCAGCATGCTGTTCCAGGCAGTTCAGTGTTTCAGGCAGTTTAGTGTTTCAGGCAGCTCAGTGTATCAGGCAGCTCAGTGTATCAGGCAGCTCAGTGTTTCAGCAGCTCAATGTTTCAGGCAGTTCAGTGTTTCAGGCAGTTCAGTGTTTCAGACAGTTTTGGGTCTCCAGCAGTAATGGTATTTTGGGATTTTATGTGCGGTTAGAGTCACAGATAGCTTGGGTTATGCTAAGTCACTTACAACACGATTATCTGAGTTATGGTCAAGTATAAGTGAATCGCAGGGATAAGTGGATCTGTGAATTCTGTTGCTCTAGTGGGAACCTGGAGTAGTTAGCATGTAAGGAATGGTAAGGAATGAACTCGAGTATGAAATCTAATTTAAATGGCTGTAGTAATGGATAGCGTGAAAGGTATGTCCTTCGCAGTGGCAGGGGAGGTGGTTAGTTATGGGGAGTTGCCTTGAGAAAGCCAGAAAACGCGCAAGGAAAAGGGGGGCGGGGTGAGCCCCTAGGATGTTCAGCATAAGTACTCGGGAAGTACCAGAGGGATGGTCAGTTGGGTAAGATGTGTTCTCAGGATTGTTGGCGATTAGAGTGCACTCAAGGTGATAAGCTGCAAGAACTAGTTTTAGCCGGAATGACCGGGCGGAAGGCCATTAAAGGCGGTTCTCCGAGGGTTGAACCGAGTAGATAAAGTGTGCATCGTACAGGAAGGTTGTGAGCAGATTGGAGGACGGTTGGCCGTGGCGGACTTCGAGGACAAAGTCTAGTTTAAGTGGGGGAGAGTTGTAACACCCAGAATCAGAAAGACCAAGAAAGGAAAGAAAAGCCGTAAGTCGAAAGAGTCAACTCGTCGAGTCCAAGGAAGAACTCGGCGAGTCGGAGCGGGCTCCGTGTGGAAGATTAAGTGACCGACTCGACGAGTCGGCTAGTGGACTCGGCGAGTCTGGTCTGGGTCGGGAAACCCTAATTCCGGGACTTGGTACCCTATTTAAGCATCTCATTCTCTTCCCTAGGGTTCATTTGCGGCCCCTATAGTCCAGAACTCAAAACCCTAGCCTCCATTGGTGAGTTTGAGTGATTCCTTCTTGATTTTGAGTGTTTTGGTGTATTCTTGGAAGTGTAGAAGAAAAGGAAAGAGAGAAGGTGCAAAGGAGAAGAAGGAGATCCAGCAGCTAGTTTCCATTTGCTACTTCATCTGGTAATAAAGCCTCTACCTTGTTCATTTTCCTAGTAGATCTTCATATATGCTTGTTTTGCCACTTTTGGGACATTTCAAGGTCCAAACTCGAGATTGGAGCTCCCTTAGGGTAGTGAGCTATAGATATGGACATCATTGAGCCCCAGGAGCTCAAAGTAGCTACCTTTATGTGGCCTTGTTCCAAACCCTAGGTTCCCATTTCTAGCTTATTTTGGTGTTTTAGCTTCATACCTCTATGCATGTACGTAAAGTTGGCAACTTTACGTGTTTATATCGGCCCTAGAAGATCAGATCTATGAATTGGATGCACTGGAATCGATTAGAATCAACTGTTTAGTGAGGACATGCATAGGACTCGACGAGTTGTTCTTGGACTCGGCGAGTCGGAGCGCAAACTCCTGATTTCTCTGATTTTAGAGTTGTGAGTTGAATCAGCGAGTGGAAGAGGAATCAGTGAGTTAGAACAAGGATTTGGAAGTAGAGGGACTCGGCGAGTCCACGTCCCGACTCGGCGAGTCGAGTCGCGAGTTAGAGAAGTGTGAGTCCGGGAACTCGGCGAGTTCATAGTAGGACTCGGCGAGTAGAGTCAACCAGGAAGTTGACTTTGACTTTGTCTTGGACTTGGTCAGGGGTAAAATGGTCATTTTACCCTGAGAATAGATATCAGACTCTGACTAAGTGTTTTTGTGGGATTATAGCTGGAGGATTTCCGGAGCAGCAGCAGACAAAGATTTTCCCCGCGCAGATTATCAGTAGCTTCGTTCAAGGTGAGTTACCTTCCAGTAGCGGTGGGTCTACGGCCACAATGTCGGCCCACCAGTAGGAGTTGTATGTTAGGTGATCGTCTTTGTGATATCATCTAGGTTTGCTACTACCTGATATATTGTATGCTGGCATGACATGTTATATGTGATAGTAGTAGAGTTCGGTTGTTAGGACCGAAGGGTAGGTCAGGCACCCCAGATATGTCTGACAGTATGTGATGATATGTTTATATGCTGGCATGATATGTTATATGTGATAGTGGTAGTAGGAGGGGAATAGTCCCCAAGTTTGGTTGTTAGGACCGAAGGGTAGTTCGGACACCCCATATATGTCTGCTAGTATGTTTATGTTATGATATATGTGATAGTAGCAGTAGGGGGTGGAATAGTCCCCGAGGGTCGGTTGTTAGGACCGACGGGTAGGTCAGCACCCCAGAATGGCTTGACACGGGTAGGTCGGCACCCCAGAATGGCCGTACCGGGTAGGTCGGGCACCCCAGAATTGCCCAACAGTATGTATGCTATATGATTGTATAGTATGTGGTACGATTGGGGGAACTCACTAAGCTTCGTGCTTACAGTTTTCAGTTTTGTTTCAGGTACCTCTTCAGCGAAGGGGAAAGAGCCGGTGGCGGTAGCTGCACATCATACACACACTGGATTCCGCATTATGAGATTTCTTGGGATTGTACTCTGACATTGTTACTACTTTACGATATGATTTTCAGACATGAGATTATGGTTTTTACGAAATGATATGACTTCATGATATTTTCTTATGAATGCTTTCTAAGTCGTTATATAAAAATCAAAATTTTTGGACTCGAAAAATGGGATGTTACACATGTACTCGATTCATCCCGGCAGCACTAAGATGTATAGGGATCTGAAACCCTACTATTGGTGGCCGGCGATGAAGCTCGATGTTGTAAATTATGTGGCAAATTGTGTAACATGTGCGAGAGTTAAGGCACAACATCAGAAACCGTATGGGAGTTTAGAACCTTTACATGTACACATGGGTAAATGGGAAGACATCACCATGGATTTTGTGACTAAACTGCCCAGGACGAAGAACAGTCACGACATGATTTGGGTGGTCGTGGATCGGTTCACAAAGAGTGCACACTTCATAGCGGCCAATGAGAGATGGTCTATGGATAAGCTTGCAAATGCTTACGTGAAGGAGTTAGTAAGACTTCACGGTGTTCCTTTAATGATTATATCAGATCGTGATAGTCGTTTCACATTAAGGTTTTGGAGGAGTCTACAAGAGGAAATGGGTACGAAGTTGTGTTGAAGTACAACTTACCATCCGTAGACTGATGGTCAGAGTGAAAGAACGATTCAAACACTGGAAGATATGTTAAGAGCATGTACCCTAGAATTCCAAGGTAACTGGGATGAACACTTACCCCTGGTAGATTTTTCCTATAACAATAGTTACCATTCGAGCATTAAGATGGCGCCTTATCAAGCCTTGTACGGAAAAAGTGTCGTACGTCCTCTTGTTGGCTTGAGGCTGGAGAAAAGCAGTTTATGGGCCCCGAGATAGTCCATCAAACTGCTGGAAAGTTGAAAGTGATTAGAGAAAGGATGTTAGCAGATCAAGATCGTCAAAAGAGCTATGCTGACAAAAGCAACGGCCGATGACATTCGAAGTTGGAGATTCGGTTTGCTCAAAGTCTCACCGTGGAAGGGACTTATCAGATTTGGAAAACGAGGGAAGTTAAGTCCAATATTCATTGGACCATTTAAAATGCTTCAGAGAGTTGGAAATCAAGCTTATAAGTTGGAGTTGCCAGCTGAACTGGAAGGTATCCATAACACATTTCATGTTTGTTATTTGAGAAAGTTCTTGGGTGAAGAACCCGATATAATCCCACTTTCGGAGTTAAGGATCGATGAAAACAAGAGGCTGATTGAGGAGCCCGACGCAACTGTTGACCGTAAGACGAAAAAGTTGCGACGTAAGATGGTTGAATTAGTGTTGGTGCGATGGAAACATACGAATGGGTCGAACCTGTAACATGCCAAAAATCAGACCAAAAATTTCATTTTAATTCATTAATAAAACCATATGTTATCAAAATATTTCATCAAAACATTGTTATCATAGTTCCACATCAAAATCAGAGTAAAACATCCCATGCAAAATATCATGGTGTGTGTGCGATGCAGTCATCCCGAGCTCTTCCCTCCGCTACCGGAAGTACCTGAAACCAAAACTGAAAACCGTAAGCACGAAGCTTAGTGAGTTCCCCAACCTACCATATACCATACACATAACCACATACTGGGCCCCCGCCTGCTACATCGGGACTTGCCCGACATCGGACTCGCTCCGGCATTGGGCCCCGCCCGACATCAGGCCCCGCCTGGCATCGCGTCTCACTCGGTATACATATATGTTTCTCTTAGGCCTCGCCTGTCTCCGGGCCCCACCCGCTATACATATACAATCACATAAACATACTAGCACATAAAGCAAACATACTCTACTGTATTCCTGTTCTAAGGCCTCGCCTAACTTGGGCCTCGCCCCTGTTCTGCTACTGATGAGTCATGAAATCCCGTCCACACTCCTGCTGATAGTGAGATACAGGCCCCCGCCCACACTCACTTCCCTCCTATCAGGGGCCTTGCACCTACTCTGCTAAACGATGAGATATGGAACCCCGTCCACCCTCAACTAGTGATGAGATACGGGACTTCGCCCACACTCACCTCCCTACCAGACACATACATGTATCACAAAGACAACAAGTATAATCTACTATGCAACATATAACATTCCTCGGGCTTACCCCGACATCGGACCCTAGTCCAGAAACATACTACTGACACATGCAAGAATCAGAAAGACCTCTAGCATACTAACATACCTCGGGCCTCGCCCGACATCGGATCGTAATCCAGAACATATATCATAAAAATGCCTAGGGCTAACCCCCGGGTCTTCCTACTATACACAAACATAATGGGTCGGCATTGTGGCCGTAGACCCATGCACACAGTGAGGAGACTCACCTAGCACTGCTGAGATCCCGCAGATAAACCTCTGGCTGCTAACTGGCAATTCCCTGAATTGCTGCTCCTTCGGCTCCTCGAGCTATCAGTACCAAAATAACACTTAGCCCAAAAACCAATAATCCTCCTTAGGGTAAAATGACCATTTTACCCCTAGTCCAACTTGGTCCATATCTAGGGCCAAAAACCGTAATATAAAAAGGCTCAACACTAGGTAGGCTTCCCAAGCCCACTAATGGCCTAATTTGCTAAATTGGGCCCAATCCCTCTAATGGGCCTTACCCTAAGCCCAAACATGTTCTTGGCCCAAATTATCTGACTTCTGATGGCCCACTACGGCCCAAAGACCCAAAGTCGAAAGCATGGCCCAACTCGAGGCCCAAAACTTGCCAAGCCCATAACTGATGAGTACGCGGGGCATACTCAAATGTACGCAACGCGTACCTGCTGTTTGGCTTGTACGCTGCGCGTACGGGCTTGTACGCCCAACGTACTCTCCAGTTAAGCTCTTTTGCCATTAAGTACTTAATTCTCTAATCCAGAAGCTACAAACACCGATCCAAGTCCTTTTCAACGTCTTAAACCATAAAGTCCCTCACTTGGTGGCTTGCAACCCACCAATAGAGCCCAAACATGAAATGTGGCAACTAACTTCCATGAAAATGGTATTAACTCATGCATGAACCCATTAGGACATCCAAGATGGCAAGTTTCTTCCTTAGGGACTCATTTAGAACTGAGAGTAGCAACTCCAAGTCCTAGAAATCGGATTGAACCACAAAGCTTCAACCTTTGGACCAAAATGGTCCAAAAACTCAACCTAAGAGATCTAAGGAAGTAATCACCAAGTTCAGATCTTTATACCTTGAAATGGTCAGAAATGAAGCAACAATCCCAGATCTACAACCTCTCCTTTGAACCACCACCTTGCTTTGCTCCTTTCTTGCTTGGAAAATGGATCCACAACACCAAAATGCTCTCTAGTGGCCTTCTAAGCTCCAAGAACACTCAAATATGGATTAGGGTTTCGTAGCAACTCTTTTAGGGTGGAAATGGAGGCTGGCCTTCGAGACATAAGGTTCTTTATATAGGGCTTAACCCTAAAATTAGGGTTTGGGAACTCTGAACGTACGCTGGGCGTACGCCTCTTCGCACCCACTTCCATATAACATTGTACGGTGGGCGTAACCCAGCTTACGCTGGGCGTACCCAGCTAAACACACGCATGCATTCCATGCATGCATGGGGCTGCTTTGTCACAAAACTCCATTAGGGACTAAAATTGACAATAACTTCAAAGTGCTATAACTCCTCCATTCTAAGTCCATTTTCGACGAACTTTATATCTACAAAAAGGTGGCGGGAAACCCTACGCTCCTAGCCACACCCCCAAGCCTAAAACCTTACGAATAAACCCAAGACCCATAAAAGACCGAATTGCCCCTACCCTTTTGCCTCCGAGACCATAACCGAGTACTTTCAAAACTGGGTGTTACATAACCTCACTTGGGAGACAGAAAGTGACATGAGAAAACGCTATCCACATATGTTTGCTGATGCATCATTCCGGGATGGAATCTTCCTAAGGGGGGGGGGGGGGATAATTGTAACGCATGCGTTTCCTGCTTGGCGTAATTATAAAATATGTATTTATGTCGATTGACAATTGTAACCTTTTATATATAAGTGAAAGGGATTATTCGAGTATATATGTTTATATAATATATGACAAATATTATGTGTATATAATATTTGTGTAAAAAAAATATTAAAAAAAAAACTTAATAAATATGGCAAAAATAAATGTTAAAAATAAAAAGATTATTTACGATAAATAATCTTAACGAAAATTGTAACGACCATAAAATCTCAAAGAATAAAAGACGTATTTGGTCTAAATACATTAAAAGGTGAACCCAAGTAGTGAAACGATATTTTTTGTGTTACATCTAGTTTTACGATGTTAGTTATTGATAATTAAATTCAAATAGATCATAAAATGATATCTATTTGGAAATAATCCGTGTTCATATTATATTATTCGAAATTTGGATAATTTTATTATCCTAATTTAGACATAGACATATACTATGTATAATCGTAAGTTATAAATTAAGCGATATATATTTTCGCATTAGCTAATCAAATAATTTTTTTCATATAAAAAATAAAACATAAAAAGAAATTGTGCAAATATATGTTTACATTAATGAAATAAATTAACATGGAAGGAAAAAATATAAACAAATAAAGAGATAGAATTTAGTCATGCGTGGCATATATATATATATATATATATATATATATATATATATATATATATATATATATATATATATATATATATATATATATATATATATATATATATAGTTACAAAACGTGGTGATGAGTCATTGACTTAAATCTAAGAATTGAGCTTGTAACACATATATATGAGGATTTAGATGAACACGTATTTTAATATTTTTTTTTCTTAGCCAAAGAAACTTTGTAGGATGGTATTTTCATGGAACTATAAATAGGTGATTCTCGATCGTATTATTGTCCAAAAATAAGTATTCTCCATTTAATATAAATAGAGTCAAAGATTGTCAAAAATGAGAAGTTTAAAGATTGAGAAATCACATTGAGAACTACTGCAAAGTGAACCGTTATATCAGGTGAGTGTATAGTTACTTTCATATACACATAGATATGAAGTATTTAATATAAATTACGTGCTATGTGTGCATATTATCTGTGTTCTTGATATTTATGTTGGATGAACAAAATATACATGTCTTATTTGATTTAAATTGTATATGTATTTTATACCTATAATTATGATGGGTAAAGATGGGTAGATGATGAAATAAATGATGAGAGACATCGATGTTTAAGCTGATTCAGTCATCTAGCGGAGTATAGATGATGACCACAGACTATTCTAGACAGTCTAGTGGAACGCTGACATGCTCGCAGCATGTAGGTGTTTTTGAACTATGTGTTCACCAGGTGTACTCCATCCCCCTCATGGTTGCCTTTTTGACATATATTGTCGATGAATCCCCTACGCAGTGTTGTCACCCCGATGAAAAATCCTTAGGCTAGGTTCCTTAATTTATATTCTTTAGGAATAGAAAGTGAGGATAACGGGAACGGGTAACCGGGTTGATTGATTGATGAAATTAATAAACTTAATTATAGGACACTAGAATAAATAGATGTTGTAAGGCCTATGTTGTTTCTGTTTATGCTTTTGATCTGTATTGACAATGACATCCCGAG